AAGTTCTTGACACGCTCCGGATTATAGCAATTGGATTCGCGACAGATGCGCTCCACCTCCTTGATCTGGTTGGTCTTGCAGGCGGCCTGGATATACTTGAAATGCACCTCTGGATCCTGTGAGAAGTTCACAATGCTGCTCAAAAAGTAAAAGAGACCGTCGTAGCTCTTAAAGCTCTCGAACAGATCAATCAGCGCCTTGGTTGTTAGCTGTTCGTGATATTTCGTTGCAATTTGTACGCAAATCTGCAAATTCTGGCGCAGATTAGCCGTTAGCATGGCCTTCAGGCACTCCAGCGAATCCTCGACGGACAGTGTACCAAAGAAACTGACCAGCCATTCGGCATTCAGCATATGTGTGTGAACAACGGCACGCTTGATGTCATACAGATCCGTATAGTGTTCCAGGGCGCGCTGCAATAGGCCGGCCTTCTCGCACAGCTGGGCAATGTGGGCGCGATCGTAGTGGGTGAACATGGCGTTGCCCAGTATGGCATCCGCCACCTGCGGCGCTGACATCAAATTCATTTCAAGCAGACGCGTCTGCAGTGCACCCTCAGCGGGACGATTATGCTTGAGTGCGTCCAATAGAAAGGCTGTGCATTGTTGCACCATTGAATGCTCCATAAAGATGTCGACAATTTGATTGATATCGGCCAGGGGCTCCTCCTCAGCGACCAGCATGGAGGCAAAGCCTGCGCCCTGTTCCGGATTGCTGCGCATCACGGAACGCAACAGGAATATATAGTCGGGTGTATAGTTAACCTTTTTGGCGTAGAGCACGATCTTTTGGAATTGACCCGTTTCGGCAAAGCATTGAATCACCTTGTTGGGCACATTGGCGCGCAGATAGATGGACAGAGCTAGTGTCAGATCCGATGTCTTAACAAGATCACCCAATTCCTCGCTGCACTCGAGCTTCTCCTCCTTCAGCCACTTTTCGCACAGCTGCTTTTTGCCCTGCAGCAGCACTGGACGGCACAGTTCCAATGATTCAAACTTGTTCAGTTTACCCTGATCCAGGAGTATGCCAAAGTATTGCAATAGCGGCGGCGTCGTTGAGCCCGCCGGCGTTTGCACCTGCTGGAAACGTTGAATCGTTTGCGGTGTACGCAGAATGGCCTTTGGGGCCAATGCAGCCACCTTGGCGGCTTCGGCATATTGACCGGCGCCAAAGAGTTTATTGAATTTACGAACAAACAGATCCTCGGCACCAGCCAAATTGTTGCGCACGGCCATGCGCAGTGCGAGATCGGGATTTTGGAGAACTGTATTAATATAGGGTATTATTTGCTCCTCGTCAACGGTGACGGAAAGCACTTGACCCTTGCGATTGACGCCAATGATGCCGCCGCTGGCCTCGTGCGGTGCGGTCACAAAAATCGTATCGGCCGATATGCGATTCATGTAGATGCACGTGGCCGTTTCCATATCGTACAGATGGATATATCCATATTTGGTTATCAAATAGATGGTATCGTACTTGGCGGAAACTTGCATCGCTACCGGAAAATCATTTTGCGCCTCTGGCGGAAAGAATACATCGACGGCCTTCTTCGGGAACGGCTGATTGCCATTGGGCGGCGTGCCGACCTCAATGATGTGCAGCTTGCCACCGGTTGCGGTGCGTACGGCAAAACAGAAAAGCGTTGTCGGCTCCTTGTTGCCCTCGATCTTGAAGGTGGCAAAACTGGCGGCATGACCCTCAATGGCCTGCGACACCTTACGCTCGACGGAATACAATTGCATGGCGCCAGCGACACGACTGGGCAGCGCCGAAATGCCAACAAGGAGCAGCCATTGCTGCGAGGCATTGCATCGGTAATTGATTATCTGACAGCCATTGAGCGAGGAATGTCTATCGAACATTTTCTGTGGCATCGAATCGCCCTCCATTGACCAATGAAAGACGCTCGTCTCGGTGACCAGAGCGAGCGTATTCAGCGATATCCATTTCCAGAATACCACATCCTCGTTCATCGTGTGCGCCTTCATTTTCGATTTCATCTCAATGTTGAAGATCTGCAGCGTCTTTTGCGCTATGAAGAGACAAACAAAAAATTAGGCAAATCTTCAATTTGTATGGGATAATTGCTCAATTGTTTACCTTTCAGCGCAATCACCTTGCTAGCCGGATTCATAATTGCCGAGTCCGCTGAAATGGGACGGCGCGTCGGATTCGAGGAGTCGTTCATATCAATGATGACCACCTGGGCGGTATCGTTCGTCTTCTCGCGCACACAAATGAATTTGTCCGATTCCATTGTGAGCGTGCTGAACGAGAAGGAGTTCGGATTGATGCCGACATTTGTGAGCTGCAGCGATTAAATATAAGCAAACAATAAGTTACGCTGTAGAAAATTGCACTAATATACATATACCTATTAGCTAGTTGTTCTTCTAATACCAACAATTTCAATTAACCGGATTTTTACCCAATTCCCATGCATGTGTATTATATCGGTTAGGTCTGAACAAGATATTAAAATAAATTAAAGGCCGATATGAAAGAGGGTTTTCTTTCAGATATTCTAAGACCTTAAGGATAGATTTAAAAAAAAAATGCGAAAATATTCAGATCGCAATTGAAATTCCCTTGAAGATACTTTATCCATGAAATTTCTAAAAACAAAAAAAAAAAAAAGTAAGAGGTCGAGAGCTCCCGACTAGGGCATACCCTGAACCCTCTTCTTCCCACATAAAAAGCATATATATATTCTATTTTAGAAGCTATATGTCAAGTCTGGTGACTCCAGCTCTTATTATTTATCAAAATTGCCCAAAAAACAGGAAATCGATAATGATTTGTATCGATTGCTTGGAAACGGAGTAGGTTATCGATTATCGGAAACAAACTCGATCTGCGCAGGCACTATGAGCACACACATCTAAAATTTCTCTTATAGGTTCTGAGATCCTTGCGTTCATAGACGGACATGGCTAGATCGACTCGGCAATACAATATACCCTTATACCCATTTTTAATGGGTTCAGGGTATAAAAAAAGAAATCTGTGTGAGCTTGGGGACAAATGGAACCTCCTCATTTTCCACAATCTGTTCACACTTGTGGGTGAAATATATCTTAAAACCCCAACTACCAAGGCGACTGCAATAAGATACATATATCCATCTAGCTGAGCAGCTGTGCATTTAGAACACTGCTCCGTTTAGTTTTCTGCCTCGCCCAGCTCTCACGTGCATTGGTGATTTGTGCGTTAAACAGTAATCGTTCAGGCAATCTGTTATTCAGTTTAATACTTGTGTGTACATGCTTATATAGAGATATAGTCACGTTTCGCGTTTTGCGTCTAGACGTACAGAGGCTGAACCCAAAGATCATCATTATCGATAATCGTGATCAGCCACCCTCGTCGAAATCTTTGAACGAAATCAAGTATATGAAACGCAAATTGTCACAAAAACATTCCCTCTACTAACAGACCCCCCCCCCTCCCGCTACAGCCCGCACCCAGTAGCTGATCGTCGTCGTCGTCTGGTCAATACTTATGGTAAACAGAGACGAGAAAAGTTCAAGGTTTTGCGATCGATTAGGCACTCTCTCTCTCTCTCTCTCACCCTCTCGGTCTGTCTCTTTCGCTTGCGGGTACATAAAAACAATTTTATCGTTGATAGAGCCAAGGCAGATTTTATATATTTTCTGGCGCCTGTTGTACAAATAATATATATGTGAACGCGCGTGTAAATGTAGTATAAATGCAATGCACTCAAACAAAGAAACTCGCTAATGAAACAAAGAGAAAATACAGAGAAAGCAACAATGTGAAATTGTTCTTATATATATATACATATATATAAGAAACCACCCCAAATGGCGTTTTAACATTATATATTTATTATTATTATGCTATATACGAATTGAACAATAAAGATAACACAGATACAGAGCAAATATGTTCGATTGATAAAGTCACAGCACATAGATTTAATCAAAGTAAACTTTTAATAATAAATATATTTATATATTTATCTAACACCATGTAGATATGCATGATATTAGTATATAGCTAGAAATTGTTGTTATCTCAGGTGTGCCGACATTTAAATACCTCTGCAAACGAAATGAAAAAAATTGCCATGTACTTGTATTTGGCGACACAGCATGCGCCCTTCTCTGCGATTTTCATCAATTCAAATAATGCACCCAAGCCCAGGGTAAAAAGGGTATTTTTTATTTGTGGAAATGTATGAAACATGCAGAAGAAAGCATCTCCGACCCCATAAAGTATATATATTCTTGATCAGCATCAACAGTCGAGTCGATCTAGCCATGTCTGTCTGTCAGTCCGTCCATATGTCCGTATGTACGAAAGCAAGGATCTCAGAACCTATAAGAGCTAGAGACTTGAAATTTTAGCTGTAGGTCCTCCTAGTGCCCGCGGATGCGAGTTTGTTTCCGATATTCGATAATTTACCCCGTTTGAAAGTAATCAATAAACGTCTATATAGAAATACTTGACATGTATTGCATTTGGTGTCATAAGAAGAGGGTTCAGGATATCCCCTAGTCGGAAACTCCCGATTGGAACAAAAGTTCACTAGTAATGAAATATGCTAATCCCATAATCTCTTGTACATGATGGTGGTTTGTTATACTCTAACCATTGGAACGTATGTCTAAAGCGCTTTCCTTCCGTTTCTGGCCTTATATCTTGTCTAGCTATAAATAGTGGAGTGTAACTTTCATATTAAGTCAATATTACAGCATAAATTTAACTGTCTGTTGGAAGAAACTGGATGTCAAGCAATACGGAGCAACATTTTTGTATGCATCGCTGATAAGGAAAAAACAACAAGAAATGCCTACTTATCAGTTTAGGCTAATCGTTTTTACTGCTGCTGAAGCTGTATCGGTGCCTGGCACATACACCCCATAAAAGAGCAGCAGAAGACCAACAAAAACAATCTTTTAAAAGATTTCATTTTTATATAATATAATATATACAAAAATTGTATATGCACACATGTATATGGATATATCAGTATATGTATATTCTTTTAATCCACGAGTTAATACTAATCTCGGTAGAAATGTGTAGCAAATAAGTTGTTTGTTCCGACGAAATGCATAAACCACTAAAGGAAATGGTTTCTCAATTGCTTACTGTTTAAAATAGTCTTAATCTTAGTCTCAGAGCAATATCGATCAAATTCACATAACTATTAACAAGAGATATGAGAGCTGGTTTTTAGCATTGAATAGCATGAATAATATGAATCATATCTATTTGGAAAAGTAAGTACCAAACAGATAACCAATATATGTATGTGTGTATATCGAATATAACAAATGTATGCCCTATTATTGCAGTGGATTCGATCTTGATAAGAATAAACTATATGCTGGAAGTTTTATGAGAAAAGTTTGATTTTTGTGGCATTCTGACGAAGTATTCATATAATTTGCTCTATGCTAGCGTAAAGAAAGCAAAATAGAAAGTTGAAGCTAACAAATTAACAGAGAGCCAGAGAGAGAGAGAGAGAGAGAGAGAGAAACGCAAAATGAGGGGCGTTAATTGCTTAAATGCACATACATACATATGTACATATACATATGTACATGTACATAGTGTGTATGCACAATCTACATATCGATTTGGTATGTAATAAATGTGAAACTGTTTTGTGAGAATCTATGCGTAGAGCGATTATCAATCGATAACTGCGATTGATCTTTGCAAATAATACTGATAACGTTCATAAATATTAGATAGATACGATATTTGGGTTATTCGCAATTGTTGCTTCAGTTTTTCTATGCCGCGTTTTCATGTTATTTATGTCAATTACAAATTAACATATGCTCGTTTTGCACTTAGTTTGAGAGGCGACACACACACGCAAACGCGCACACGCACAAGCACACACACGCACACACAGAGAGAGAGAGAGAGAGAGAGAGGCATGCATAAAAGACGGTATAGTGCGTGCTCCATAATCAAATTTAGTTTACACGCCCCGCTTAGCACTTGCGCTGCGAGCCCAGTGGACCACGATTTAAAGTAGGGTGTCTCATGCGCATAAAATTAAATAAAATTAGGTACACAGGAAAACAAGAAAATAGTCATTAAAATAATTTATTTTGCAATAATAAACAGTTGTAAAATATATTAATTGGCATGTTCGAATTACCAAAACCAAATTATATATATATATACTTATTTATAAATTGAATATTATGCATACTGCAGCCCAAGTGTTATATTGTAGCGAAAAATATTGATATGCATAAAATCAACAATCCCGTATGAGAAATATAACATTATATAGTATAGATTTAATTGTATACGAGTCTGGGCAAATCAGGCCAATGATTAGATAAACAGTTCGCCCACAGAGTGAGTCGCCCTAATGCGTTGAGTCTGATATTCTGACTTGGATACAAGCGAAATTTACAATGCCGTTCGACTGACGACATTATGGGCAGCACCATACATACATATGTATGTAAGTTTGCTTGTACATGCAAGCACGCACATAGTTACTGTAAATATTACTGCCTTCTCTGATTACTTGTGCATCTCTCTGACACACACACACAGCAACGAGAAGAAAACGGTTTAAAAAAAATCTTTGATTTATTCAATCAAAACGACAACAGCGAGGCAGCTAAGCTTGAGTTACAACATGCTTTAGTGTGGTGAATGTGTGATGTGTTAGTGTGTGTGTGTGTGTATTGTGTTTGTTTCCCCACACCTTCAAAACGCATTGGAAGAGTGGGAGTGGTATACGTATGTAGGTGAAATGCGTAACATGTTGCTGCTATAAACGCGGCTGCACAATGAACTCCCACCTGCCTCTGATGCACATTGTGCTATAGCAAGAAGTTGAAAAAAATGGACCTCAGTTTATATTGCTCCACTTGAAACGCTTAAGTCTACGCTACGATGCAGCCAGCATTCCCTTTGAATCAAAAACAGAAACAAAAAATCAAAGAGTTCGTCATTACAGAGAAACCGGTTTAGCAATACACCAATACAAATGTCCGACAACTTCACCTCATGCAGGTGTGCGTTAGTATACGTGCATACATGTGTTTATGTGTGTGTGTGTATCAGCCGGCATTTGTCACCGGCAGAAACTGCTGCTTCTGTAAGCTCTTTCATTTGAAACCTGCATATGTAGTATATGAAACCAATACATGTATATATGTAACATACATGTATTAGTAATTTTAAATGACAACAGTTGCATTTGGCATGCAGTTAACTGTAAAACAACAGCAATCCACCATAGATAAAAACCAAGCAAAACGGAAAGAGAAAGAGCGCGAATCTCCCAATTGGAGCAAGTGCCGCCTTTTCAGTCCGACTTGCCATGGACGAGTTTATCAGCAACGTTCACCCAACTCAGCACTCGACACGACACAGCAGCGAGAGCTTGAGAGTAAAGAGAGGCGACAGGCAAAGGGGTCTGCCGGCTTGTGTGAGCGTGACTCATTCGACCATTTCATTTCGTAAGCCTGAAGAGTCAAACAAGCGGAGAGCAAAACGTTTTGACTAGTTTTTTTTTTTTTTGTTACCAAGAAATTTCATTAAGAAATGAATGCGTACAGTGGTTCACAATTTGCTTCCAGGTAAAATTGAGAATGTTAAAAAAAAAAAATGTAACAACTAATGTAAATGTTTTTAGTTGCCTGTTTAGTATTAATTAAATTAAAGCTGACCGAAGCGAAATTTAATTCATATAACAAATATATAAAAGTGCTAAAACAAACTAGAAATTTATTTTGAGATGTGATTTCATAAGGCATAAAATGCTGAGATTTTTAAACATGTTTAAAGTCGATCATTATTAATATGGACTTGAACCAGGGTAAAGTGTGTTCCTTTATTCTAATAAGAATGTGGTAAGCGGTGCTTGGGCGGGTCAACAAGTGGTTTTCCCCACCACACAATCCACTTAACTCACACTTGCACAATAGGACCAGAATCTGACTAGCTGCCTCATTCAACAGAAATATAGGCAACCAAATACCCTTACCATAAACAAGTCAGAAAAATGCACTCACCTGTAAATGCTCTTGAAAGCGTATGGGTAACGGTTGCGTCATCTTGACGGACTGCTATTTTGGCTCTCTGCTTGGGAGTTGCGAGTTGTTGTTTGCTGCTCCTCTGCTCTCTACTCACTGAGTTGCTGTAGTCTCTTCTTCTTGTTGGTTTAACGAGAGATAACACACGCACTTTTATTATTGTTGATAAAAGTTAGTAAAAAAAAAAAAGAAGAACGGGAGAGAATACGAATACTGTTGTCTGCGTCAACGTTGACGTTGACTTTTGTTGGTTTTTTTTTTTTATGCTTTTGATCTGCTTCTTGTTTGGTCGTTCGTTGTTTTTGTTGGTTTCTTATGCTGATTCGTCTCGGTTTTAATTTTTAGCAATTTCGTTTCGCGTTGCTTGTGAAGACACACCAAAAACTGCGCAATGGAGAAAAAGACGAAAGACAAAAAATGTTATATATATATATATATATATATACACATATATGTAAGTATTAATTGGGATGCAAAGTATTTGTTGCTGTTGTTATCACTAGAAAGTAAGCGGTTGTAGGCCGAACCGCCTCTTCAAGCACGAAATAGGCCGCAACAGAAGAGCGACGTTTATCCCCACACTCCTATGCACACACATACACATGCACACACACACACACAGACACACACGGACACGGACAACCGAAATGTACCGAAATACTTTCTTGCTAAATGTTATTTTTGATTAACAGTCAATCAATAAATGTACGTACAATTTGTAGTATTATTCACTTGAAATTTCACATATTACTTGCGCACGACCGTTTGTCGGCAAATACAAAAAAATATTAATGAATCGACACGGCCGACAACACTGACAGACACAATAACAAGTACGAGTCAGTGACAGAACGGCCCCTATGGTGTGTTACAGCGAAACCCACCACAGCTGCGATTTGCCGTTTGTGCTTGTATTGGTGCATGACAAAGTCAAATAGTGAAATGTCAAAATGCGCGCCGCATAAGTGTGACCATACATTTATTGCACAAAATTTATACATATAATACAAACCATTGACTAGGGCAGTGTGAAAGTATAATCGTAAAATGCGAGGTAGTTATTTTCATTAGATAAATCTGCCCCGCATTCGTCTTAACATGGGGCAACACCGCTGCTTGCTCATAGCTCACCACACTGTCAGCCATGTTGAGTTGCGCTCTGACACACTTACACACACACTTGCATGCTGCTAGTCGTACTCATGCACACACATACACAACACACTTGCATATGAACGTGTGAGCAGTGAAAAAATTGCTTTGCCATGTACATATGTATAAAAAACACTTTTTGCATTGATTTTTGCCACGCAGCAATATCCACAAGAACTTCAATACTGAAGTTTTGGAAATATAAATGTTAAAGACCCCAAATTTCGCGCACATAACACGACAAAGCAGCGCATTTGCTTTGAACACGTATGCCACATAAACAAAAAAATTTGTGTTAACATGAAAAACACCGCCCACTAACACTTTGACATACAGGCATAGGGCCAAAAATACAGTTTTTTTTTTTCTGTGCAAACGCCGTGACGCCTGTCGGTCCGCTATTTTGCATTGGGATCGGCACCAGTGAGATCTTGCCAGTGCATCATATAATTTTTATGTATGTAATTTCTTATTTAAAGCCAAACGATGTTAAAAGGTTGATAATTTTGATGTTTTTGGTGAGGAAGGCGGAAGCGTACCAGTTTATTGCTGTAGTTTAACAATTGCACGTCTGCACGAACACACGACGATACGATTCACATTGAACTTTTAACACATTATTCTTATTCGTTAAAAAATACACGAAAGAGCAAAAATTACATCGAAAAAAAGTATGAATGAGACAACGTCGGTCACTGCAAGCTAGGGATGTACGACAAAAATATATCGATTCGAATTTGCTTCGGCAGTAATCGAATGCTTTTACTCGCATCGGGCCTTAAAAAAAATATCGATTGCGCACTTAACAGAGCATGTTACCTACTTGTAAATTTACAATTACTTTACGCTTAGACCACTAGTGCTACCATCCAAAATCGAATCAACTAATTATCTCGCTGCTAGAAAATGTATTATTGCTACGAGACTTACCATTAACAGAACTGCTCCGCAATTTAACAGAATTGCTCCACAGCAAACTGAAAAACTCGCTTCTTTAAAATACGCAAAATATCGCTCATCTCTAAACTCCCCAAGCCGAACAGTCAATGAAGTTGGCGGTGCGCAAAGTTAATTATACTTAAACTTTCAATTTTAAAACGCATTTTAAGAACAATTCCGCATGAAAGCCGTGCACGCGATGTGCTAATGAAGTTAACTGTATTCGTTATACCCATGTTATTGTTAAAGCGAGCGCTGCCATCGCTTTTCCTCTGCATTCGTTGGATGTTTTAAAAAAAAAAACACGCGCGTTGCGCGTCGTACGAAACATATTCAAAAGTTGTTTGCTACATATGTGTGTGTGCGTGTGTTGTATGTTTGTCTGTATGTGCGTATGTACTGGCTTTATTAAACATTAACATTGCGAAAAATCAATACACATTGTGTTCGCAAGTCTCTCAGTGCTTGTGTGCCGTGCACCGTGAGGCGCATTTGTGCAAGAATTGTGT